CAAGGGGCTAACTCTAGATAGCAACTGTTGGTGCCGAAAGCTAGATGAGAGGCACGAATGCATTTGGTGACATCCTTGGGAAGAATACCGTTCGTGCCGACTGTCACGCTTCCAACGACCAATGCCACATGGCAAGAAAGTTGCACGTCGCCATCCACATTCAGTCGCCTACGTCACGAACTTGCCGCGGAGCCGACGGGATCCTGTCCGACGCGGTTCTTTGTCCAACACGGAGACTTTCCTGTTCCTTCGATGACATCTTAATTTCAGCCTGCATGGAGCATCATGGTGCCTGTGGCTGCGATCGGGCCTGGAAACGGAGTCGCCTCCACGTACTCGATTCCGCAGGCGCGTCAGCTCAACGAGCCAGGATGAGTAGTTACGCCGCTCAACCAGATTTCTTAGTTTATGGCGGCCAGCTTCTACCCGCGGAGCACAAGAGACACGGGAAGATCTTGGTCGCGCAGCCTCGCGGCAGGAAATTGTACGCATACTGGGATCGCCTTGGAAATACAATCTCGTGATAGATCATCACGCTGCATCATGTCGATATACAGATACTGTGAAATAAAGAACAGGGTATCATAGGATAATTTAGCAAAACACTGTGCATCTCTTCCATACAGCCATCCTGCAACCTCAAGGCCACTCCGTCGCATCTAGTCAACCCTTCTGTGCCGTCGTGACCGTCTCGCTGCCCTTGCCATCTATGATTGAAGCCATTGCAACGACAATCTCTCCCTCCTTCTCTATCTGATCGAAAGCAGGCGGCGCTTCTCCATCTGTAGGTGGCTGGATCCAGGTCTCGTCCACCGGCGGGCGCACCCAGCTCGGGTCAGCCGCGGGGCCGTAGCTCGGCGCCAGGATGATCAGCGGAGCGGTCATCTCATAGCTGACATCCTCGTCCGCGACGTTCATGCGCACGCGCCATTTCAGCTGATGCGAGTGTCGGATATTCCACGTTGTGAAAGAGGGGTAAAAGGTCCCCGTGGAATGGTGCGGCTCGCGGAATCCGACCTGGTGGCCGCCGACGTCGAGGCGGAGATCGAGAAGCGCGCCAAAGTCGCAGGGCGCGACGGCATCGCCGCAGGGGATGAGAACGGGCTTCGCGAGCCTCGACAGGGGCCCGCGCAGCTGGAGTGGCTTCTTGTCCGTGTCGTCCGCCTTCTTGGCGCTGAAGGTGCCGACGCAGCGGATGGCTGTCGTGCTGTGAATCTCCATTCCAATGTCGACGAGCTTGACTTGCTGCGGCACCTTGGCGATGTCTTCCGAGGTGCGGCCCCAGTCCGGGACGGCCTTGACGTAAAAGGGAATGGCGCGTGGGCTGCCGAGCTGGATGACGGTCGGGTAGGCGACCTGAAGGGAGTAGGCGAATCGCGGCAGCTTCGAAGAGCCGAAGAGCTTGCGCGTCTTCTGATGGAAGCTCAGCTCGGCCGTTTCCATGCCAGGGACGAGGCGATGGGAGGCGACGACGCGAAGCGTCTTGGACGTCTTGAGATGGCTGTAGGGGTCGACAGGACTGGCGGTCGCGGCACGAACATGGAGGGGCAGGTCGGCCTCCTTGGACTCGAAATGCCCCTCGCGTGTGTAGCGAAGCTCGGCGTGCAGCCAGTACTCGACGAAACTGTGGTGTCTCTGCGAGAAGATGCCGACGTCTCTAACGTAGAACGTCGGGGGCAAAGCGGTGGAAGCGACAGTCTCGGGGTCCAAAGGCAGGAAGCACATGTCGGCATTGTTGGTCCGAGAGTTGAGAGCGAGGGGGCTGATGTGCGTCGGTAGGGTCACTGCAAAGGGCCATTCTGTTGTCTCGGCGTCATTGGGAATGTGTAATGGTCCTTCATGGAGAGTCTGCGTCATCTCATGAGTATCAAAGTAATTGCAGCGGCCGCGATACGTGGCACTCGTTTGACCATTGCTGACAACCAAGTGTGATTTGGAGCGGCCGTGAAGCTGAATCTTGACGGTCGCATGGGGGCTGACGAGGCCATGTTTACGTGCGACAACCCCTATGAGGGTGTCGCCAGCCGAGAAGACCGGGTTGGGTGCTTCAAGGCGGATGCTGAGCACATGGCTTGTCTTTGCCGTTGTTCGTGGCATGGCGACGGTATTGGAAGTACGTAGGGTTGTGGATAGCGTGGCTCCAGAGTCGTGCACCGATTCAATGACTCAGGTGACAGATGATTCATATACTCCTGACACACATGACATACGTAGGTATGTAGGTAGGTAGCAAGTCGCGGGCGAACTGAGGCCTGAAGGCTGTCGTGATGGACGCTCGAACGGTGGTTGGCTTACGCGTGCGGCGCAGTCGCTTGGCTGGGCTGCCCGACACAAGGCTGATGAGGCGCGGGGTGTGGCTGTGGGATTCCTCCGGGCCACTGCAGGAAGTGGCGTGGGGGGCGGCAGGAAGCGGGAAGGAAGAACGCCTGGCAGCGCTCGCTGTACATGGCACCTTCCGTCCCTAAGCCCGGTCACCACTGTACGTCAACAACGCTTCCTTCGCCAGGCTCCTTCCTCGATACCCAACGACCAAGTTCCTCTGTCGCTGAAGGTCGAAAAATGAAGGACCCGGCACTCGGGCAACTACAACCAAACCCTCTAGGCAGGTGAAGCAGGCGAAGCAGTTCTTTCCGTTTCCCGAGACCCCAGGCCCCAGGCACCACCTGGGTCCTGTCCACGCGATGGCATCGTCTTTTGCAGTGCACCAATTTCTTCTCTAATGATCAACAACCCCGCCTTTTGCAATCTGCAACCAACGAGTCGCAGCTCATTAATCGATCGCCCGTCTTACCGTTTAGCTCTGATCGCCTCGCATCACTAGTCCCATTGGCAACTGGGACTTTGAAAGTCAACCGTCACTTCGATGGCATGGCTGCGGCCGAGCACTACGGATGACCCAGCGACTACGCTGATGCGACTACGCCGATGCAACTACGCCGATGCAACGACGCCGATGCAAAAACGCCGATGTCGATTTCCGACCCAAGATGATCCTGTCTCTACCATGGCCGGCCAGCCCGGACGACGCGCTGCTTAACCGGCGGCACGTATGGCGAGTCATCTATGGATGACGCCGACAGACAACAAGGCACCTGTCATAGCTGCTGGCTGAATCTATCATTCAATCTTTGGCAGACATCCGCTGCCGCAGGCAAAGCGCGAACAGACCCCAACAAACCCAGCAGCAATCTCGTTTTGCAAATCCCCGTTTCATCGTACCGCAAGTGAATGCAAGCGAGGTGAGCATTCCCCAGTCTTGCAGCCCGGTTTTTCAGGTCGAGGCCAGGGCGCCGGTTTCATCGCAGCGCTAAGACGTGCAGATGCACCCCTGGGGCGCTCTATCCCCGGCGCCGACGACTATCTGCCAGGCCTGCCCAGGACACTGCTCTGGCAAGTCCGGCCAGGCGATGGGTGCGGCTCTGATTACCACTGCTGACAGCTCCATCGCGGAATGGCCGACCGGGGTTGGGATTCGCCGCGCACGTCCACAATTGTTCGGGTGACTGCCGAAAGAAGCCAAGCAGATCACGCACAAGCAAGGCCGGCCGGCGGTCCAGGGGGGGGACCAGCCAGCCGACATCAGACGACGGGAGATTCTCCGTGGCCCAACACTGCTGCAATGCATGTTCCCTACCGTTTCGGCTTGATGACCTCGAGTGCGGTGCCTCCAGCGAGCTTCGACCAACACGAGCGGCTATGCTGTCGATGAGCGCCTCCATCACATGGTCGTATCATGAATGGGTCATCGGAAAGGCAGGGGCGGGAAAGGGGTAGCGAAGAGAGTATGTGGGCTTTTACACGACGGAGTCTTCTAAGCTGGCAAGGAGGAGGGGTCGTCGTCGTCGTCGTCGTCGAGAATAAAGGCAGCGCCGCCGCTCCCCTCGACATCGTCTTGTCTCTCTTCTCCTCAGCAGCTTCTTCCTGTACACATTCTTTGGTTCTTTCAACCTTCTACCTTCTTTTTCACCATCAACTTCACATTTGTCGTCTTCACTGTGTGAAGCTGGGACACTCTTTTACCATCACTCATTGAATCAACCCATTTGCACCTTCTTTCTTGCAAACAACGTCCAACCCACTAGCTCCAGCCTTTGACAGCCCACCTTCTTTCACCACACACTCCAAACATCAACATGTCTTCCATCAAGTCTACTATCGCCCTTGCTGGCGCCTTCGCCGCCACGGCCCTCGCCCACGGCACTGTCACCGGCTTCGCTGCCGACGGCAAGTACGAGGGCGGCTACAAGCTCAGCTACTACTACGACAAGATCAACAAGCAGCCTGTGCCTGAGATTGCCGCCTGGTCTGCCGAGAACCTCGACAACGGCTTCGTTGACGGCACTGGCTACGCCACCTCCGATATTGCCTGCCACATCAAGTCGGCGCCCGGTGCCACCACGGCCTCTGTCGCTGCCGGCGGCAAGGTCGACTTCTTCTGGTCCGACTGGCCCGAGTCTCACTTTGGCCCCGTCTTCACCTACGTCGCCAACTGCGGCGGCGACTGCTCGGCCGCTGACAAGGCGACGCTCGAATGGGTCAAGATTGACGAGGCTGGCTACAACGCCGAGACCAAGACGTGGGCTGCCACGGACCTGATCGCCAACAACAACACCTGGACCACCACTGTGCCTGCCACTCTGGCTGCTGGCAACTACGTCTTCCGCCACGAGATCATTGCCATGCACGGCGCCGGTGCCGTCAACGGTGCCCAGAACTACCCCCAGTGCATCAACATTGCCGTCACTGGCTCCGGTACCGACTCGCCCGCTGGTGTTGTCGCCACGAAGCTCTACACTGCTGAGGACCCTGGCATTCACTTTGAGCCCTACGGCGACGTCAGCGGCTACAAGATTCCTGGTCCCGCCCTCTGGACCGGGGGTGCCTCTGCTCCCGCTCCCACGACCCGACGACCCCCGGCGGCGGTAACGGCACCGAGCCCGCCGTCCCCGTGACCCCTACGGCTCCCGCCGAAGAGGTTCCCTCGACACCCGTCACCCCCATTGAGTCCTCGGCCCCGGCTCCCGTCGAGTCCTCAGCCCCAGCTCCTGTTGCCACTGAGGCTCCCACCACTCCTGAGCCCACCACTCCCGAGCCTACCACCCCCGAGACTCCCACGACGCCGGCGCCCACCACGCCCGACGACGTCCTGCCCGAGAACTTCACCCTCAAGACCTTCATCGACTGGCTGAGCCAGTACCTTCCCGAGGGCAACGCGCGCCGCCACGCTCGCGACATGATGAACTAGACGAAACGTCATGAAACAAGATGTACGAAGGCTTGGGATTTTGAACGAGCTTTTGGGTTCTATGTGTATTTATTCATTCTTCTTCTCTGGTGTAAATAGCTGGTCAATTGAACCAAGATGTGTTTCTATCTGCGCTGTCGTGGTGCTGATGTGCTGTGACTCGAGTCGTTACCGAACGTGGAACCGGGTTTCCATCTGATGTGGTCGATCTCATAGCCGATCAAACCTGCCGTGCTCGACCGACCCGTTATGGACCAGTGGGGGCAGTTCATCATAGATGACGATTGACGATCATACGAATACCAGGTTCAATTAAGAGCTGCTTCGACATGACCCTGATGCCGATCTCAACCAGGCTTTGTATTTATGATATGCAAGATGCCTGTCAGAAAGCTCTCTCTTCGGAGCGTCCCTTGACTCACAATCATTCGTGGTCGAGGCGGGCGCCGGTACCAGCTATCAGGATGGCTATCAGGGGCGTGTCGGAGTTCGCCGACGATTTGATTCGGGAGCCTCTTGGGTGAGAGAAGCCAGACCGCTGAAATCTGCGCTGTCTCGGCCCCTCAACATGGATTCTCCACATCTGGATCCCCCCAGATCTGCCCTCCAAGATCGCTCACATGGCCGAGGGTGCCGGATTGCCGTCTCGTGGCCGCGGTTGCAGATAAAGAAATGGATCAAGACAGGCGATAGACAATAGGGCTCAACGCATGGCAAATTTCATTTCGCAAGGTCGCAGTGGCTGGTCGATATCGAAGTTTGGTTCCTGGCTAGCGACCCGGGTCCGGAAGGTCATGTCCATAATTGATAACGCCAGGCCCAAAGCGGCCCATCGCCCCGTCTGGTGATGCTTGTCCCAAGCATTTCGGTGCGGGGATGGCTGCTGGTCAGGGGTATCACTGGAGAAGGATGTTGCCGACATGAATGCTCGCTCCAGCGGTATTGTCATGACAAAGGGTTTGTGAGGTTGGGTGATATTACATGGGGCCAGGCCTCCCGAAAACCTGTCGTTGATTCAACTCTTCTCTTGGGACGCGCCGCATTCCTTTGCTCTTTTATTTTCGGACGCCGTCCAATCCGTCTGTCACTACCTCAGCTCCATCATCATGACGCTCGCCAAGTCTCTCGCTGCGGCTCTGTCGTGCCTCACCCTGGCCCAGGCGACCTGCCAGGTGACTTCGACGTCTGACTCTGGCACGACGCTGTTCAAGGGAACGGTCCTCACCTCGGCCGGCGCACTGCCCAACGCGCGCCTTCTCGTCAGCAATGGGCGCATCAGCTACGTCGGCCGCCAGTGCGGTTTCAAGGCCGACGAGTCGGATGCCACCGTCATCGAGTGTGTCGGCTCGGTCATCTCACCGGGCTTCATCAACACGCACGAACACATCGAGTACGCGACGGTGACGCCCCTCAAGGACATTGGCGAGCGCGCCGACCACCGACACGACTGGCGCCGCGGCCTGCGAGGCCACACCATCCGCCCAGCGCCCGTCAACGGGTCGGCCGTCGAGGCCACGGCCTGGGGCGAACTCCGCCACCTCTTCTCCGGCACGACCTCGATTGTCGGCGGCGCCATGGCCCCCGGCCTCACGCGCAACCTCGACTACGTCGCCGGCGTGGGTCCGGAGATCCCCGCGCCCGTTGCCACCTGGGACATCTTCCCGCTCAACGACGCCGCCGGCATCCTGCGCAACGGCGACTGCGACTACGGCCCCAACATGACGACGGCCGAAAAGGCCGGCAAGCTGTACCGCTACATGGCGCACGTCGGCGAGGGCGTCGACGCCGAGGCCGAGAACGAGTTTCGCTGCCTGTCGAGCGCGACGTACGACACGACGCCCAAGGCCGGCGGCGGCGGGCTCAGCACCGACATCATTGCGCCCAACCTCGCCCTCATCCACGCCCTCGGCCTGACGAAGAGCGACTTTGACCTCGTCGCCGCGCGCAAGGCCACCGTCGTCTGGTCGCCCCGCAGCAACGTCTTCCTGTACGGCAAGACGCTCGACGTCCAGTACCTCCTCGACGCCGGCATCACCGTCGCCCTCGGCACCGACTGGCTGCCGTCGGGGTCGGCGACCATGGCGAGGGAGGCCGTCTGCGGCTTCGCGGCCACCAAGGCGAGCTACGGCCACGCGCTCGACGCCAAGACGCTCTGGGAGATGATGACCATCAACGCCGCCAAGGTGGCCGGCTTTGACCGCTATCTCGGCTCGTTCGAGGTCGGCAAGCTGGCGGACGTGGCCGTCTTTGCGGGCACGCCGAGGGAGGATGCCTTTGCGCAGGCCGTCTTCTCGTCGGGCGAGGATGTCGAGCTCGTCATGCGCGGCGGCAAGGTTCTGCTGGCCGCAGAGAAGATCAAACGGGCTGCGACTGGTGCGTGCGAGTCTGTCGTCGTCGGCCACTCTAACAAGACCATCTGTGTTGAGGAGGAGCTTGGGAGGAGCTATGCCGAGTTTGAGAGCAAGCTTGGCGGTGTGTACCCTGCGCTTCTGCCGGGGGTACCGTCAGGGGAGCCTACGTGTGAGCCGACGAGGTAAATCGGGGAAATTAGGCGAGCTGCAGAAGATGGAGGAAGTCTAATGATCATGTTGTATTCCCGCGCTTGACCTCACTGGCAACCCACGCACGCCAAAAGAGCCACTCAAACTGTGACTATGACCTTTCCCGTCGACGATCCTGACTTGACCCTGGCCACAGCCTTGGGCATGTCCTCGAACGTAAACACAGAATCCACCACTGTCCTGACCTGGCCGTTCGCCATCCACTCGGCAATCTGCTCGAAGCCCGCCCGGTTGCTCTTTGCAAAGTATGCCTCAAACTTGGCCTTCCCTCCGCCCAACATGCTCGGGCACGCCGAGTTCTTGGCTATGGTGCGCATCGTGCTGCCGTCGACCTGGCCGGGCACCATGACGTACTTGCCACCCTTCTTGATAAAGTCGTTTGCGGCGCGGTACAGAGCGGCCTCCTCGCGGTACGCAAAGTCCGCGACGAGGTCAAACACCTGGCCCTTGGCCTTGAGCGCCGCCACGAGATCCTGCGTCCGGTAGTCAATGACCTCGTCGGCGCCGAGCTCGGCGCACAGCGCAACCTTGGCCGTCGACGCTGACACAGTGACGCGCAGCCCGTGCGCCTTGGCAAACTGAATGCCGTACGTTCCCACGCCGCCCGTTCCGCCGTTGATGAACACGGCGTCGCCGGCCTTGCTGTTGAGCACGATGCTCTCGTATGCCGTCATGGCTGCCGTGCCCACGCCCGCCGCCTGTTCGAAGGTGACGTTGGGCGGCATGGCGACGCAGCCCTCCAGCTCCGACACGGTGAACTCGGCCATGGTCCCGGGGATGCTCTTCTGCGTGTCGACCCGGCCGAAGACACGGTCGCCGGCGCGGAGGACGGAGACGGCGCTGCCTGTTGCCGCGACCTCGCCGCTGTAGTCCAAGCCTGGCAGCGGTGTCGGCTTGATGAAGGCTGTTCCCGGAAGCCCCGTCATTTCCGCGAAGAGGGGGTCTGCCGGGTTGATGCCGATGGCCCTGACGCGCACGAGGATCTGCGTCGGTTTGAGGGCTTTTGGGGGCTTCGGGTGGTCTTGGTCCAGAACTAGGCCCCGTTCCAGTGGGAGGTTCTTGTGCTTGTGTATCCAGGCGCGCATCTTGTCGTCGCACGTCATTGTGCTGCGCAACTTGTCAAGATTCAAGGGGAATGTCGTGGTGGTGAAGAGGTTGCTCATGGCATGGAGAATCTTGCTCAATTCTGGTCAGCACGGCATTCAAGTATTGATCTATTTCATGTCAATCAGAACAGGCAAGCGAGAGGCATCGGAGCCGAGGTGTATCTGATGCCGACCACCATGGGCGATCGTCCGGCAATGATGCAGTACTCCGGAGCCGTGGAGACGGCGGCCTCGGTCGGATTTGCGTGCGCTTCACGGGCCAACCCCGATATTTCGTGTTCCGTGCGTCGCTAAGTCCGGCTCCAAAGCCGCGCTGAGTCGTATCCCGGCAGTTTACTTGCGTACGGCCGCAGAGAGCACGAGTCGGAAAATGGTGACGGATTTAACGGGTGTTCTTATCTCCATGATTTCCTTCCCCTTCACTACATAAGTGTTCAGCGCAGAGCATTCATGCCATGATGATCAAGCAGCGGCCTCAATTACGCCGACTGTTGCGCTGGGGCTTGGCTCTCCACAAACCTTGTTTGCGGACGCTGGGCCTGGCTTTCACTGCTTGGATATGGCTCTTGCATCCGACACGAAGTTTGACTAAGCAGATAGCATCCTGGAATCGCAGATGAGAAATCCATCATAAAAGAAATAGTCACCGGGGCCGGATCGACAGTCATGGCCGGATCTTGGAGCGTGATCGCCGTGGTGCCGGCCGGGCCGTATCATGCCGGAAGCGAACTTCTTCCGATCCAGCACCGGCAGCATACAGACAGCTTCGGGGTTCCGCAAGGACCCTGTCGCCGTATGATGGACACAGGAAGCTTGCTGCTTCTTTGTTGATGATATGTCAGCTCGCAGCCATGACCTCAAGAGCGCGGGGTCACCCTGACCCCCTGACTTGAGACAACACATGCTCTCATGGTTCTCCCCGGAATATATCGGGCATTTCGGCTCTGCCTCATCACACCATGGACCGGAGGTCTGGTTTCCGTTGGATTTGAGCCTGATTCGGGATGTGGGGGCTGCCGTGTGGCGGGCTGGGCCCTTCATGCCGGCGGTTGCACCTTGTTGATGCCCATCATATCTGGACCACAACCCCGAACTAGGTACTTCTCTGCATATAGACGCCGCGCAGGTAAGATGGCATCTTACATATTAAATGCAGCCGTCTTCACGCTGGATGGCTTAGCTCTGCAGCTAGTGATCAGGGAGTTGGAAAGTCTTGTTGACAGGCGACGCCCATTTGTTGCAGCACCCACTCTGTTCAGCCACGCTAGCATGAAGTCAAACTGTTCGCAGTACACCTTGATCCGTACTTGTTGACTTCTCGTAGGCGTGAATCGGATCATCGAATGGATCAGCTACACAACCGCCCTCTTCCCACGATCTTTATCAACCACTGGCGCGAGCAGAATCAGCACATACGACCATACCTACTGGAAAACTCGGGATCCCGTCCGCTCTCCCAGCGATAAACCAGTAAGGGCCGGACTAGTAGTTGGGTGGGTGACCACCAGCGAATCCCCGGTGTTGTATGTTTTTGAATTTTGCAAGTGGCATACAGGCCTGGAAGGTGGGTGACGACGCGATGGCGGTGTACTTAGGTGTGACGGTCTTGATGCAGCTTTTCTGCCTTGCAGATAATCTTCAAGTCGCAAAAGATTCTCGATCGAGTCAAGTCTTATTGTTCTCCTCCGAAAACAAGCTCTTGTGCCTGGAAACGATAGGCTCCTTGCCCTCGACCTGTGACACCATCTCATTGATACCCCTCTCATCGAAACAGATGCTTTCCCCCTTGCGTGTGCACCGAGGCTCGCATCTGGACGAATCGTTGTTGTTGAAACTCGTGCTATCGCGGAGAATGTTTCTTTTCGCTGCCCATTGACAGGGCGGTCTTGCAAGCACGAGTCTTGGGCGTGTGATGCGAAACCTCTCGGATAGATTAAAGGGGCGCAGGACTGTCTTGCGGCCTAGGCATCGTCATCAGAGACAGCCCAAACTGGCCCAGCCTTGTTCTTGTTGCTTCGGGGATGACAACGCCACCGGGGTGCCGGTATCGATCTGCATATGCCACAGCGTCACACGGAAAAGTCTGGGGTCGTGCAGCGCGGGGTTTCCCCAGGACTTTGCAATATCGCCATCATGATGCCTCGGCTTCGATGCTTTCAGAGAGGGGAAAGGCTCGCTTCCTCGCATTCCGTCTGCATAGCGCAACGCACTCCGCACTTACTGGCAGCTTACCCCGGATTCTAGCCCTCCATCCCCTCCATCATGCAAGCACCACGAGTGCCGAAGATCTTTGCCCTGAAGATTTCCATTCGTTGGCAGCAACGTCGCCAAATGTCTTGCCCTGCCAGAGTTGCCTGACTAGTGAAATGGCGCCGTCCATCTGCCGATTGGGCTGTTCGTGGAGCCAAAGAGCAACGGCGTCCGCTCGGACTCTTCCATGGTAGCGGAAGCTAGTTAGTGACTACGTCGAAGTCCCGCAACAAGGCGTTACGGTCGCTATACCATCCGGGTGGACACACAACAAAGAGAAAGGGCAAAAAAGGCCTAGAATACTTCCAGGGGTTGACTGGACGAGCAATAGCAAGGTAGCTTGTCTCACGCACAGTCTATGCCATCCGGTATCTCTCGCCACGACATGCCGTCAGCACATGTGCGAGTGCAGAAACACGGCCTGGCCTGATCTCCCCCAACCTGAGCAGTATGAAAAGAATCAAGAAGCAACGCGTTGACCAATCGCGGCTCCCATGCCGACACCCACTGCAATGGTACACCCCGGCTTGACGTTTCCTCCCAGGAGCCCTACTCATACGAACGTTGCAAACAGCCGAGGCTCTGGGCAAGGTTCGACGCGCTGTCATAGGTCCTCCCGCACTGCGCGAGCCTCCACTGATCATCAGAAGCAACGGTCCAACGCGTGGGATGCCTCTGTGGGATGCCTCGCGGCGGACGCCATCCGCAAGATGCGCCGAATTAGGCAAGGCTTCGTCTGTCGTGGGATGTGCCCGTCGGAACATTGTGGTAAGACAGGGGTCTTGGCTCGCCCCCACAGCCAGGGATCTGCCGGGGGCGGCTTGGAGCTCGGGAAAACAACGATCGACAGACTACAACGGGTGAGCTCCATCATCGCGGGTCCAAGTAGAGTAGGAGGAGGCTCTACGCTTGGACTGGCCTACGATAGCGGCTTTCGTGTCCTGAGCTATGGGGTGCGCCGGCGCGATGAATGACTGGTGCCATAGCTCAGCAGGTTGCGTCCTCCGCCCTGACGAAGAGCCAGGCTCTAGTGCTCGAGTGTGCTAGATTGACCTCTTGCGTCGAGTTGGTAAATGATAAATAGGAGTTGAAGTCGCTTCAGAATGATGTTGAAATTCCCACCAGGCTCATCCAGCTCTCGATTCTCCAGCATCTTCTGCCCTTTCTCTTCATTCCTCGCTTCTTCCCACCTGGTGCTATACAAGCAACGTGCCGCCGAACATCAACCGCCATCATGAAGTTCTTCACTGCCACTGCTCTCCTCGCCGGCCTCGCTGCTGCCCTTCCGGCCGCCGTCCCTGAGCTCGAGCTTCAGCCCGCTGGAGCCAGCCACCTTGAAGCTCGCCAGGCCATCACCCGGAACGATCTCCAGAACGGCCGCACGTGCCCCGGCGTCATCTTCATCTACGCCCGCGGTTCCACCGAGAGCGGCAACCTGGTAGGCAGAGCTCATGAAGGGCCAAATGCATGTTCGCAAGGGGGCTGACAAGACCAGGGAACGCTGGGACCCTCCATCGCCACGGCCCTCGAACGCGAGTACGGCAGCACCGGCGTCTGGATCCAGGGCGTCGGCGGCGCCTACGCCGCCACCCTCGGCGACAACGCGCTGCCCGATGGCACGAGCAGCGCCGCCATCCGCGAGATGAAGGGCCTCTTCGAGCTCGCCAACAGCAAGTGCCCCAGCGCCAAAATCATCGCCGGCGGCTACAGGTACGCCCCGAGTTCTGCCCCCCTATTTCCCTGCCCACTACCGGACACGCACAAGGAGACGGAGCTGACGCGAGGGAAACGCAAACAGCCAAGGCGCCGCCCTTGCCGCCGCCTCGATCCGCGACATCTCCTCGACGATCCGCGCAAAGGTCGCCGGCACCGTCCTCTTCGGCTACACCAAGAACCTGCAGAACAGGGGCCGCATCATCAACTACCCGGCCGAGCGCACCCGCGTCTTCTGCAACGTCGGCGACCTCGTCTGCACGGGCTCCCTCATCGTCACGGCCGCGCACCTGACCTACGGCAGCGACGCCAGGGGCCCGGCGCCCGCCTTCCTCATTGCCCGCGTCAACGCTGCTTGAGGGGTGGCTTTGGACGAGACCGGGGTTCGCCGCTCCCGGGTCGACCTTTGGGCGCTGAATACGCGGTCAGCTGCACTTGGGTGGACTGGGAGGGGGGGCCGACGGGTGATGGGCCGGGAGATGGGAGGCAGCCCTGCTGAGTGGGACTGTGAGAGCGCTTTTTGCACATTTGAATGTACTGAGTACATGGTTTTCATTACTTTCTTTGACTATATTATGTAGCGAAAATAACGAGAGCGATGCATCGACCTGAAGTCTGATGGGTGACGGCGTTTTGGTGAGGTGACCTCAGTAGTTCCAAATGCTTCGTACGTCATGTATGGAAAAGCCAGT